ACATGAATTTTTGTCAAACCATGACACACATGAATTTTTGTCAAACCCCGACACACATGAATTTTTGTAGCTCTGTTCAAATCCCTGGTTTTTTGTTGTTTTGGAAGCAGTGTAGTTTTCCTGTGGTTCTGTGCAGGGTTTTTCCAACCTGCTGCTGGGTCCTGCCTGCTTCCTGGGAGAAAATCATTCCTTATGGCAGCAAAAAAAAAAAAAAAATCCCTTAAAGCTTTTATTTCTAGGATTAGATAGAGGGAGGGAAGTTGGGTCAGTGGTCTCTTCTTTTCTGGCTCAGGGAAACGTTGCATATTTTCTAGTTTAGTTAAATATTCAACCATGGGGGGTTTAGCACCTGTGAAGACTCAAACCAGTAAGGAAAAGAGCTTTTTTTTTTTCATTAGTGCCTGGTTCAGCTGTTGTAGCTTTTTCCAGGCAGTGCACCTTTCCCACCATGCTCTGTTCACCTGCCCTGCCTTTTGGAGCCTCCCAGGAAAACATGAGGGAGTAACTTGTTCCTTTTTCTTCTCTGAGATGCTTCGGTTAACATGTGTAGCCTAATTAGCACATTCCTGGCTTCAGGCTGTATTTTTCTGTTACAACTTAATATTCATATCAAGGGAAATATTAAACACACTGAATCCACCTTGGTAGGTTTGTAGCTCTTTCCTGGAGCACAGCATGAAATCTGAATGAGGTGAGCAGATGGTGGGGCTGGGAGCTTTGTGTGTGCAGCAGACTTGCCAAGATGCCCATTCTGGAATCTATGTAAGAGTATCCTGCTCCAAAGGGGATCCCAAGTCAGGATTTAGCCTTTCGTGCAGCCTTCTGTAACATGTGACCTGGTCCTGATGGATGATGGGGTGGGACAGTGGGCCAACAATTTGGAATTTGCTGTTCACAATGTATTTGTGCCATGGTTTGCCTGACTAATTCCCAGTTTTCTTAGTTTAGTCTCACAGATACTGTTTCTCTGCTGAGAACTAATTATTTCCTTTCCCTTGTAGGCTGGCTACATAGTTTATGAAAAACTGAAAAATATGAATAACAGTGACCAAAAGCTATTTTGTGTAAGGACAGGTAAGTTATGCATTCAGGCATAAGGAATTTGTTCAGTGCACAATTGCATATTCCACTTCCCAATTAGTTTTTTTTTTTAATTATATCAGGGTTTAGCTTCTTGATGGTTGGAGATCACTTCCAGAGGGAGCAGACAGTAAAAACTCTTGTAAGCCCAGGGTTACTATACCCTGTGACTGTTTTCAAAAGTGATGTAGGAATGCAGTCTTAGGATGCTGTTTGTTTGTGTTTTTCTCTGCTGTACACAGAGATGGGAGGAATTCCTGCTGTCATTCCAGTTTGTTTATGGAAACACTTGAGTGAGTTAATCTCAGTTCTGCTGATTCAGGGACAAGTACGTAACTTAAGAACAAATAAAGGCCACAAAACAAACCATGTTATGGAGTAATGCTTTCCTTGAGGCACATAAATAGGACCCAAATGCTTTAGAGCAGCTTAACATTATTTACTTCATTAGAGAAGTGATTTTAATGTCCTAGTTTTTGTTCAGTTACATCTTTCATAAATTTAGTATGACAGGGAACTTAGGGCTGAAAAGGGGGCTTTTTGTGTTCTGTGAAAGACAGAAGTGTTCTTACTATCCCCTTAATAGGAGCTGCAGTTTTTTTGGCCTTGGTTTAAACAGCATATCTGTGTTAGCAGCTCTCTTCTGGAAGCTGGAGGGAAGCAGGGAAGGATCACTTTGTAGCAATCCTGTTGTGTATCTGTTTTCCCTGAGCATGTGTCATTACATATGTGTCTCTTCCATTGAAGAGATGCAGTGCTGAAGCACATGGAAACTTGACCTGATTCCCTGGGTACTCAACTTTTAAGCCCTGGAAAAGCTGTTTTATCAGCTGTAGATCTTGTAGAAATGTAGTTACTGGAATGGGACTTAATTGCATATAGATGTTAGACCCCAATTATTGTGAAATAACTGATGACATTTCTTACAGATGCCATGTCTGAGGGTGTGAAGGAGCGCTTGACTTCACTGGCTGAAGAGATAACAGACCTGGCTTCCCACATCCCTGCCTCTTCTGGACAACTGGAAAACTTTCAGAGGTCAGTTTTTTGCCAACTTGTCTCCACTTTGCCTCTAAAATCAGGGTTTTCTCTTGATCTCTGAGGTCCCACACCACAAAATACACATGAGTGAACAACCAGCTGTTATTTGTGTGTCCTTTCCCAAGAAAACATTGTCTTTATATGTAGGAATTTCTGTTTGCACTGGTCTGATTGCAGTGGTTTGACACTGAACTTGGCTGAGTTTTTCTTCTTGCTGAAATGCACAAGAAGATCTTTTTTTCCTAACTACTCAGGGCTCTTGTGTGACTGCCCACTAGAAATCCAGAGAGTTTATCTAAGCAGGGGAGCCGTATCACAGTTCTTTTGGAGGGCCTTTATAGGGTTTTTTCAGTGTGAAGAAATCTTAATTTTCTTTTCACAGAAGTGGAATGTCAGTTGTATATTGAGTGAGTGTTTCTGTGTGAAGTTTTGGACAAATTCAGTCTGGAGAGAGAGATGACTTCAGAATCCTCTGTTCTGCTTGTAGCTCAGATGAGTGTTAGTAACTGCTTTGTTTTACTTCCCAGGGCTGCAGAAATACTGGCTGAGATATCAGAGAACATAAATGCCTTAAGAAGCACATTGTTGGGTTCAGGTTCCCCTTCTGGACTGGAGAGGAGCTGTGGTGCTGCAACTCCAACAAATTTTGAAGCCAAGTCAGCAAATGTTGAAGCACAAAAAACTGAGTGTGCCAAACAACTAGAAGGTGACTTTAACATCTGCTCTGATGCTACACTGGCTCTCCTCTGGGAGGGAGAAAGTAATGGAGAGGAGGCAGAGAGAGGTAACACTGTGGAAAATAGGGCTGCAGCAGCCAGATCTATGGACAAAGAGAGAGATGACTTCATATCACTGGACATTACTGAGCAAGAACTTCAGGTCTTGGAAGATCAGGCTGCAAAAGAGTTGGTCAAGGAAGCTGCGCCTGAGGTAATTAGTTCCCACAAGATTTAAAAAGTTTTTATCCCTGAGAGAATATTCAAGTGTTTTGGAAGAAGGGCTCAGTCTGGGAAGTACCTGTGAAGGCAGTCAAGCATAAAGCTGCTCTTCAGTCATGTGTTTGGAAGGATTGGTACCAAGTACAGGAGGTCTAGGAAATCTCATTAGTTTTCCTCTTTCACTTCTTAGAATGTTACCAAAGAATTCCTTGCAGTAGGGGGACAAATTCTGCACTAGAGCATCTTCAACTTGGTCATGACTAAAAAGCAACTCTGTTTTTAAGGGATCTGTAAACTAATAGTCCTTCTAGTGACTGAGTGTGGATTGATGCCTCCTCAATCAGATGAATATTTTCCTGTGTTCCAAGTTTGTCACACATGTGGTGGTACTGCTGGTTTTTTGTCTTACTACAGGGCTTTGTTAGGTTCTAATATTTCCTTCAAATATTTTGGGTTTAGTGGACAAACTTCAGAGCTGAATGTTGAGCTTAACTGCTTCTGGTAAGAAGCAAAAGCATACAGAGAAGTGGTTTATAATATGTACAGAAGTTTGGAAGCTTGTGGGTAAAACAGGAATAACTTTGGTGCTAATAAGAAAATTGTGTGGGTTTTTTGGTTTTGTTTTTGTTTTTTTTAGGAGGAATATTCCACAGATAATGAACAAAATGTTTCCTGTATCATTGAAAGTGATGAAGAACTGGAAATGGAGATGTTAAAAGTGAGTGCCTCAGGGTTTATTTTTCAATTTTTTTTTTTTTGGTAATGATGATGCTCTGGGATCTCAGTGAACTGGAGCATAGTTGAGGGGAGGGAATATGAAGTAAAACAGTGCTCCTTACAGAAGGTGGACAGAAGATAAAGGTGTGGATACCTAAAGAATTCAGTTTTCTGGTGTTAGACTTCAATATCACTTGCATCCTGTTGCATCTTTACTATGCCAACTTGGACTGGATCCCCACAATAGATTTAAGTTATGACTAGTTTAGAAGTTCTATGTCCAAATATCATATTACCTCAGATACCTCATTTTACCTACCCATTCATGCTCCAAAATAACTTTTTTGTCCAAATTTCTCAGTCTTTAGATGATGTAGATGATTCTGAAGGAGTTGTACCTGAAAGAGGGTCCACTAAAGCCAGGAAAACTCCTGACACAGAAGTGAATGTAGCACCAGATGGTGATGAAGAGGAAGGCATTGAGGAAGAAGAGGAGGAATGTTTTGGTAGTTTTTTTTAATTTTAATGCATAATTAAATAAACTGACTGTCTATAGAAGCAGCTGTGGAAGCACAGCAACATTTGGTTTCTTGAAGCAGAAAGAAAAAGCTCACCTGGACTTCCAAGGGAGAACTTGGATTGTGTAAAGATGGCACCTCCCACATCTGCCTTTGTTCTGTTCTCCTATTGCTGCTTCATGGCAGAATCCTTAGGAAATTGTGCCGTGGAGGTGGTCTGGAACTAATGCTCTGGGGCTGTCCCTGTGGAGACAAATCTAATGGGGAAAAGAGGCTGAAATGTGAGGAGAAATACACCTCAATTTGTTTAGATTAACCTGTTCCAAATGAAGCAGTTATGCATTACAGTCCTATTGCTATATCTCATTAATCAAGCCATATGTTCTCCTCCTCATGTGGGGTCTCTGAGGAGCCTGCTTGCTTTTTTTAATCCTTCACTCTAGCTTGTAAATATCTTGAGTTTGTCTCTCTCTTCACTGGAATTGACCAAATTCTAAGCCCTGGGCATCACTAACAGGCTGTTAGTGGCTGTTAACGTCACAAGCAGACTGTTGTTTGTCAAGACAGTGCTTCATCTTTTTAAAATTTAATCCCAGATTAGTTGGTTTTTCTTCTCTCCCACTAAAGATCCACTGCTGCCAGAACCTGGTGAAAGCCACATCACGTGTCTGAAGACCTATTTTGGGCATTCTTCATTTAAACTGTGAGTGTATTTTCTGTTAAAATGGACACTGATTTTTTTTCTTTCCCTTTTTTTTAACCTGGATGTTGTTTTTATTAATCCTTAAACAAACCCACTAACAAATCAAGGGTCCTGTTTACAATCTCCACAAACACTGTGGGAACTACAGTTATTATTTGTGATCTCCTCTGAATGTCTGCATCAAATGCTGTTTGCCTTAGTCCTGTTGGAGATCCCCTCTTTGACACTCCTGGGCCTACCTGCAAAGACAACACTCTAAGGCAGCCTCAAGGGTTTCTTTAACCCACAATTCAACAAAATATGCAGTTTCATACTACTCACTTGTTCTGTGTGGTGGCACAAATCCAAGTATTCCCCTTTTGTTTAATTTAAAGGGTCCAGTGGAAAGTCATCAATTCTCTTTTAGAAGACAGAAGAGATAATCTTGTTGTCATGGCAACTGGTAAGTTACCTTTACACCCTAAGAAACAGCAAAAAAAAAATTATTCCCTTTTTGGGGAGACTAGCAGAACAAACCATGTTTTTTAGGGCTCGCCAAGGTTTGGGGATTGTCTGCTTTACTGTGTAGGACACATGATGTCTCACTTCTGCCCCTTTTTCTTTCAGGCTATGGAAAAAGCTTGTGCTACCAGTTTCCTCCTGTTTATACTGGACGTACAGGAGTTGTCATCTGTCCTCTCATCTCCCTGATGGAGGACCAGGTGCTGCAGTTGACGTAAGTAATGTGGTGGTAACAAGCTGCTGCTGGATTGCCTGTGGGAACACAGGTCCTGCCCGTGGCATTTCTTGGGGGTTCAAGTGGAAGCTGTTTGTGTGTCAGCTGTAGAGCATATGTTTCTCCAGGAACACACACTGGCTGTGTAGGCAGTCTCAAATCCCTGGATTTGCCAGGTAGGTGAACCATAGGCTGAATTTGCAAAGGATCTTTGCGGGGTTTCTGAAGGAACACACGAAGTATTTCTGGGTTCACGGGCCTTTTTTTTGCCCAGACTGAAGTGACAGAGGAGCTTCACGGGCTGTTTCAGCCTGTGGGAGTTCTATCAGAGCTGGGCAGGGCTTCCTTTGGGTCTGAGAAGTGACATCTGAGTAGCTGCAAGCTGCAGGCAATTCAGATCAAAGTTATAGCACAGGCTTTCAAGAGGGACAGTGCAGTAGGTCTCCTAAGAGTTGGCCTCTTCACTTAAAAGATCTGAGGGGGGGAAACTTGTGGGTGACACCAAATCACTTTTACATGAGCAGTCACAGGTGTTGCCAAGATAATTTTGTTTGATTTTTTCTTTTTTTTTAATACCTGATAATACTTTCTCCACACGTACTTGCTTCCTATTGTAAGAGCTATTCACTTCTGACACTTGTTCATTGAAGCTGTGGGAATCACACTGAGTTGTCTAGTTCATTCTTGCCTGTCCAACTTGGGAAAAAGGGGTCTTTTGTGAAAGGGGGGATACGAAGATGTTTTGTAGTGAGAAACATCAGTTTTGCCTGGCATTTTCATGACTGTGTGCAGGTGACTGGCTGGACAACCTCAGCTCCTTGACTGGGTGTTACTCAGCAGGGTGTCTGTGTATTCAGCTGCTGCTTTGACTCTTCCACTGTTTTCCTCAGTGGAGAGGGTTTATTCACTACATTCCCAGTGGGTCATTCATTTTGAAGGCTCAGGAGACTGAATTTTTACAGTCTGCTGCCACTCAGTAATTTATCTGTCAATCTGGCTGCTCAGCAGCTGTGAAGACCAAGAGATGTAAGAAAACTTGGTGATTTACTGCGTTAAGAGCTAAAATACAATTTGGTTGAGCTGGTAATTATGGAGTTTGTCATTAAAAAGCAACCACCTCATGGAAAATTAACAGGTGCAGCATGGGCAGCTCACAAAAGATTGAATGTCAAGGCAAAAGCTTGGTGAGCTAATAATGCTAACATCCAAGTATGATGGACTGGATAAGAGAATAGTTAAAGAAAATACACTTAGCATATAATTTTTAGGTGTTTTATTAGTGAACTTGTCTCCTGTGCAAGGAAAATGGTCTTCCTTTCTCAAATTCCTGATTGTACTCATCTGATGTGTCTCTTGTGGAGAGAACTGGAGGGGAAGTTGAAGAGGATTTGGGTGGCAGGAGTAGCCATGGACCACTCTTGATTTTTCAAAAGGATTTTCCCCACAAAGATCCTTGAAGAAAATAGTCTCTGACCTCACAGCTTGAACTTCCTTTAGAAATGCTGGCACAGGCTGGAACCTAAAGCTTGGAGAGTAAATCCTTTCATGACTGTGCTTTTTTTATTTCTGCAGAATGTCAGGGATTCCAGCTTGTTTCCTTGGTTCAGCTCAGTCAAAACAGGTCAAGGAAGCCATCAGAGGGTGAGTTTTAGCCAAGCTTTCTGGGACTGGGGGTGTGACTCTTCTGGAATGCTTTCTATGGTCTTCACTGAGTTCCTCTTGTTCCCTATCAGAAATCTGGTCTTGTTCTCATTTCCCTTTTCAAGACAATCATGACTTTGTTGAATTTGTCTGGGGTTTTCTCTTCTTTGACAGTGTATTTTTGGTCTTTCAGGGGTCAGTACAGTGTCATATACATGACTCCAGAGTTTTGTTCTGGGAACTTACAGTTACTTCAGGATCTTGACCAAACTGTTGGTAAGTTGAGGATAAGGCTGTGGGCGAGTTGCCAGGCAGATTAAATTAGTAGTTTTGTTTAAAAATTTTGAATATCTGAAGATTTTTCGCCAGTTCTTTGGTGAGGGTAGTGTGGTGACTGTAAATAAACAGTGTCATGAGATCCTGTCACTGATTTTTAAAAAAATGTGAGTAGTGTCTTTAGCATGGTCTTGGCCTGGGAATGTTGAGCAATTAATTGGGAACAGAGGTGCTAAAACACTGATTGTTGAATCAAAGGAACTGAAATGCATAACACTAAATATTTTAGTCTTTTAGTATTTGTATTTCTTTGGTCTTCAGCTGAATGTAACAAGGAAGTGGTGTTTTCAAATGCAGTAATGCATCTTAAAAATGCTCTTCTTATTAAAGGTGATGCAGCTGGTGGACAGGTCATTGAGTAAAATCAAGGCATGGCAACTCCAAGAGTTGTTTTAGCAAGGAACTGAGTTTTTCTAGTGCTGTAGGCAGCTCACATGTCTGTGCTGTGGTTTTGTGCCCACCAGGTATCACCCTCATAGCTGTGGATGAAGCTCATTGCATCTCTGAGTGGGGCCATGACTTCAGAAACTCTTTTAGAACTTTAGGCTCACTAAAGAAGGTTCTGCCACTGGTGAGGTTTGGATATGTTGAATTTCTAATAAAAGAGAAGGATTTTGTGTGATAGTTTGGAAACAGCAGGTTCTTTTATCTTGTGCTTTGGGTGTACTGACCATGCTGGCTTGGAGTTTGAGCAGTCCCTGTCAGTGACTGGGCTTTTGTGGTTTCTTTTCCAAATGCTTAAATGAAGGATATTCTGAAATTAGGCTGCCAGAAACTTCTGAAATGTAAACTGCTTTGGATCCCTATGCTGTGGAACATGATGTCCCTAAGCTTCTGGTTTAACATTGAGAGATTTTTTTTTTATTTATTTTTTTTTCTGACTGAGTGAATTGTAGGAACATGCAACTGATTTCTATAAATGCCTCAAGCATTTATTGCATGAGCTTAAAAATTTAGACCTGAACTTTACATGCTCTTATTGGAAGTTTTATCCTATGTTCCCTAAATTTAGCTAATCACATCAGAAAATTACTGTGGACTCATGGAAGATACACACATTCAGAATGAAACTTCATATTTTAGGGGTTCTGTCCCTGTCTGCTGTCCTGGAACTTTGATCCCAAATGCTCTGGAAACTGAATATGAACTACATTTTTCAAATAACTGAACTGATCCAGTGATCATAAACTCATTCAAGTGCCTGTTTACATTCTGTATCAGTTTCCTATTGAGTTTTTTGGTTAAAAAAAGAAATTAATGAAAGGTCATGGGTGTTTTTCTGCTTCTCATTGCAGGTTCCCATTGTTGCTTTAACTGCAACTGCAAGCCCCTCAATAAGAGAGGACATAGTGAAATGCCTGAACCTGAGGAATCCCCAGGTTACCTGTACTAGTTTTGACAGACCTAACCTGTACTTGGAAGTTGGACAACAAAGTGGAGATATCTGTAAGGATTTGAAACAGTTCCTAACTAGGAAAGGAAGGTAAGCTTGGTTTTGTTGATCCCTCAGACTTCTTGCAGGTGGATGACTTCCTCTGTTCTGTGTCTTTACATGTTGTTATTACTTTAAGCAGTTCTGTGTATGAGTTTGAGGGCCCCACTATCATCTACTGCCCTACAAGAAAGGCCACTGAGCAGGTGGTGTCTGAATTGAATAAACTCAGCGTGGCCTGTGGTACCTACCATGCTGGAATGGGGAACAAACAGAGGAGAGACACCCACCACCAGTTCATGAGGGATGAAATTCAGGTATGGAGGAAACAAAATCCACTTGGTCCTGTTTATAACTGCAGAGTTTCTGGTGGTAGAAAGAATTTTGGACCATCAGCATGTGTTAGAGGTTTCTTCTGTCTCCAATTCTGGGCAAAGAAATTGCTGGTCTATGCTGACAGTAATAAGATTGCTGGCTTACCTTGGCGATTTCTGTAGTAATTACCTTAAAAAATGCATGACATTTAAGGAAAGTAGTGGTGGCTGGAACAACATGATCACAATTTGTGAGCTGCTTTTTTCCTAGGTAGCAGTGTTATCCTGGGACTTGTGTTCCTTCTCACAATACCTTTGAGAACAGCTACTTGAAAACACTCCTGCATTTCCCTCAGCACATCATTCCTGTCATGTTTATAATCCTATGACTGTGCTCTGGCCAAAATCAGACTTGAGGTAGCCACGTGTGAGTCTGAAGCTGTCGTAATTTAAGCTGGATTTTGAGTCTGTAACAACAAGTTGTCACCAAGAGCGTGAACATTAATCCAGGCTTATTCTTTGTGCTCACTTGAAAAAATTCAACATGTGACCTCTTGTTCTGTAGTGTGTTGTGGCTACAGTGGCATTTGGAATGGGCATCAATAAAGCAGATATCCGGATGGTTATTCATTACGGTGCCCCGAAGGAAATGGAATCCTATTACCAGGAAATCGGGAGAGCCGGCCGGGATGGCCTACCTGCTTCCTGCCACGTCTTATGGGCTGCAACAGACTTGGCTTGTAACAGGTAAAGGACTGGGGACAACTGATTTGACACAACCAGAACAGTTTTTGATGCCATGTGGTGCAGGTGGTAGCTCAGGGCACCAGCTGGCTCATGCAGCAGCTCAGGGCAGGGCCAGAACGAGTGCTCTGTATTCCCATCAAGTAGTCCCATGTTATTTTCTCAGTTGGATGCTTCCAGTAATTACTGTGAAGGATATTAAATGAGGCAACAGGTAGATATGTCCTAACATGCCACCTGTAAGGCTCTTAAAAGAGGAGTGATGATATCCCAGCATATTTTGCCATCTGGCTGTGGAGCTGATGACAAATTGCCAGAGATTGGACAACTAGGGAATGAGAAAAGCAACTCTCAGTGCCCTCTGCCCTTTTCTTCCTCCTTGGTGCCTTTTTGGCATGGATCTCTGAAGTTTAGTAACCTGTGAGGTTGGAAGAAGTTCTAATATTCTGATGGAATAATATTAAGAAGAATGGGGGGGAAAAGTGCTTTTCTGAGTATACCCTGTGCTCTGAGGAATCAAGGCTGTGGAGAAACAGGCGGGCAGCTTGGGGCTGGGTTTTGTAGGATATATTTTCTAGCTGTTCCTTGTGAATGCCTGGCACACTTCATTTTTGGTGAGTATTTAAGGCTCTTCACTCTTCCCCTTGGCTGACAGACGCCTCATAAGCGAGATCCACAACGAGAAGTTCCGGTTGTACAAGCTGAAGATGTTGGCAAAAATGGAGAAGTACCTTGTGTCCAACAGCTGCAGGAGGAAGTGAGTGCTAGAACCTGCTTAATGTTTTGTCACTTAAGGCAGCTCTGATAAGAGTTACTGACTTGGTCACAGCTGGAGGTTGTAACCAGAAAGCATCCTACACTAAGTCTGTTCTACAAGCACAGAGCATTCTATTTTATATTAATGAGCAGTATCAAAAATACAACTTTCAGCACATTTGTACACATACATCAAGTGTTTCCTTATTTACTTTTAAAAAAAACCAAACCTTTTCTTCAGAGGAATCAAAGCTAAATAATTGGTTCCCTAGTGAATTAATTAATGATGCTGATTTCAACTCAGTTTCCTGCAATGAATTTCATGTGTAAATTCTTGGTCTTTTATTGAATTCCATCCATTCCCTTGGGTAGAATCATCCTGTCTCATTTTGAAGACAAACAACTCCGAAAGGTTTCCTCTGGCATCATGGGCACAGAAGAATGCTGTGATAATTGCAGGTCCAGGTAAGCTTTCCTCCCTGAAGACTGATACTGGAGGTTATGTTCTCTCAGACTGACTTAGAAGGCAAATTATCTAAAATAATTGGCTTTTATGCATCTGATCTTGCAGATGTTCAGCCTGAGGTACATTTTGGAACAACTCTCTAACCTCTTTCTAATGAGTTGAGCAAGCCATAAGCTCTAAGTTAAGCTGTGGGGAAAGCCCGGAATAGAGCATGGTCACAGTTCCTATAAGGGTTTAAGCAACACTCTGAAACTGTGAATACACTTTTATTAATCAGTTTAAACCCTGTTGGGTAATTAATCCCAAAAGAAAACACTTGCAAATGGTGTGGGCTAAATTGCCCCAGTGTCCAGGGAGCTGTTTTCCTGTTACAGCATGTGCTGACATGTGTTCTTTTAGCCTTGATGATAATCTCATGCATGTGCTGAGGGGAATTCAGGGGGTCAGTAGTCAGAGGCATGAGCAGAAACACCTTTCTCAGTTTCTTCTGTAGTTATAATAAAGCTTTCCCTGAAGTTATAATAAAGGATTCCTTGTTCTTGCTGGTAGCCTGGTGCTCTCTGATCCAAGACAAGACATTATGCTGAGTTGCTTTCTGGAAAATGGTGATCAATTCAGCTGCACTTGAGTATGTCAGGAATTAGGAAGTCTTTGCTTGGCCTCTACAATACCTAAAGGAGAATTTAAGAGATCATCATTTCAATCTTTGCAGTCATGTTGCTGTGCCAGTAAAGAGCCAGATGGTGAAGTTGTATTGCAGAACTGAAATCCCTTGGAACAGATCGTTTTCCTTTTTCTCCTTGGAAGTGATGTGTGCCAGTAACTTTTCAATGGGTTCTTCCACTCAGTAATAAATGCATTATTTTTTTTTTCCTTTGTTTTGTCAAAGAAACAGACAAAAACCTATTGGCTGTTAGGTGCAATTAAAGACATGTACGTACCTAAACCAGTCAAAATATTTAAATAGTCAATTCAGAAGATTGTTGGGGCAATGTTCTGTAACAGCAGGTATAAGGAAGAAGTGCTTATTTTTGGCTTGGACAGCTGTGTGAGACACTTGAAGCTACATTGACATAAACAATTAAACATTTCTTAAGTGTATAGTACTAGGACCAAAAATGTGAGACTAAGTCAATCACTTGTAGTTATTTCCTTTAGCTACCAATAATATTTGGAACAAGGGAACGGGGACTTGATTTGCATGTATTAAACTTGGTTCTCTTTGTTGCCTCCAGAGGCTCTTGTCTTACATCCCCCAGTGACTCCGAGGGTGGCTTGCAGGATTTTGGGAAGCAAGCTCATCAGCTGCTGTCTGCAGTGGTCGCCCTGGAAGAGAAGTTTGGGACTAAAAGGCCCATTCTGCTGCTCCGAGGGTCTGTAAGTGATTGTTGAACTCCTTGGATGTGTTCTGAGAGTGGAGGGGGCTGTTCCAGTGTCCCTCTTGATTGATACACCAAACAACACATGGGTTTACATCCATGTCTGTGTGTATATACCCTTTTTCTTGGAGAGATGGATGTTTGTATATATAGAGAGAGTTTTAAGTATCAGCAGTGAAGCTGCTCAGCACCACTTCCCCTGCAACAAACAAGATGATTGTCCTGCAAGTTTGTTATGAAAATACACTGCTTTGGTTATCTTGAAAGGAACAACCTTTTCAGGATGAAGAATAAACATCTTAACAGCTTAAAAATAGCTGGTTTATGTTTGAATAAAGCAAATGATTGCTTCCACTGTGGCTTTGTGCTGCTGGCTGACTTGGAGCAGTGAGGTGAGAAGTAGGATACTAGAATGAACATAAAGGATTTCTGCATATATTTACTTACTTCGTATTTCAAACAAGTTATAAGGGGCTCACTGGAAATAAAATCACAATAAGAGCAGAATCACTTTTTGTGTTTACAAACTGAGGAGAGAAAGAAAGACCTGTAGTACTTGATAAAACTACGTGAATTATGTCCATTTTTAACCTTTTAATAAGACATTAAAGTTGCTTGTTGTCACACAAATGTGTCTAGGATAGAAATACTCTGTAACAGATTTCAGTGAATAACTATTCATTTATGAGATCACTGGAGTAAGTGAAGTTTATGCCATATTTGCACTGCAGATGCAGAATAGCCTTTTACTGCCTACAAGAATAGCCTTTTCTGGGCTGAAATAGTAGTTGGGCTCTGAGTTCAGGGGCATAACAACCCATCTAACAGAAGCTAATCAGCTTTTTTGGAGCCTGAACCGTTGGTAAGATAAGAGTAGATCAACAATGTTTTAAAACAAATGAAAAACACTCTGCAATGAAGGCTGGAGGAGGAGGAGTAGAGCAAATGTGTAATGAACTTGGTCATGGCTTAGTATCTCTGTCCTGGGATTTAAACAGGACTTGTGAACTTATTTTTACTGCTGTAGGCTCTTCTGAATCAAAAACTGAGTGGGTAACAGCTTCTGTTTGAACTCATGCAATGTTAGGTTGACCTCAAGTGGCTGAACACAAACTGCACTGGGTGACTTGATTTCTTTGCTGTGGATGGCTGGGTCACTCCTGTAATCTTCTCATATATGAAGGGAGATGTTTTAATAGTTCTGTGATGTAAGTGTAGGTTGGTGTGGGGTTCTTTACTGCAAAAGAAAATCATGATCCATCTTGTCACAGCCTTGGCAGAAAGTGCAGGAGTGGATTAGGTTAGAGGAAGCTCCTCACTTTCCAGGGTTTTGGTTTGGGGGTTGTATTTAAAACTCGATTCCACAAGGACTGGACCAACGTGATTCTTTCCAAAATTTCAGAACTCCCAGCACTTGCCAGACCGGTTCCGAAGGCACCCCCTCTTTGGCAGTGGGAAAGAATGGCCAGAGAACTGGTGGAAACTGCTCTGCCAGCAGCTGATCATGGAGGGATTCCTCAAAGAAGTCTCGGGGCATAACAAGTTTGCAACCATTTGTGTGCTCACCCAGAAGGTACTTTTGGGTGTGAAACGACCCTTTGAGAGCTCACCTGAGCTCTCAAATCCATAGCTGAGCCACACAGTTTTTCTTACAGGGTAGAAATTGGCTGTCAAAAGCTGGATCTACTTCAAATCCAAGTCTTCTGTTACAGTCCAGTGAAGACCTTAATCTGCAGAGGCCTTCTAGAAGGTAATTATGGCAGCTGAGCACTTCTTCACTAACATCAGCTCTGTCTCTGAAACCTGCTTTTGGAGGTGGCAGGGTTGGACAGGAGAGCATGTGAAATTTGAGTTTTACTTTTGCTTCTGGTTAAATTGAATAAAGAGTGCTGGCTTGGTCTTTGACAAAACCAGAAAGAATAATGAACTGGAGATTGCAGAGGCTTTGCTGCAACAGGAAATAATATTAAAACAAAGCTCTTCAGTTCTGGCTGTAGGAACCTATTCTAGTGCCTACACGGTTGCTAATAAAGGTGATGATAAAGTATCAGGGTTTATTTGCCTTCTAATACACTTGTGACTCTTTCAGCTCTGTCTTCTAGAATTGAAAAAGTAGCTTATTCTTTCACCAGTAAGCAATGCTGAAAGCTGTGTGCTTAGTGCAAACCAAAAAATTGGCACTTACTGGTTTCTCCGCTAATGGGATCTTTAAAATCAAAACTCTTTCAAGGGTCGTCGTGAAAATTCCGTTTGCCACAAAAAACTTGAAATTGGTTTGCTTAGCGAAATGTTAATTTATTTATTTTTTTTTAAGGGCAGTGTGACTGTACAAATGATTTGGTCAGATTTGATGAAGATGTAATTAATTTTATTCCAACAGTAGACCTTTGCCTGTCCTCTCTGCGCAGCGCTCCCCAGGCACCAAAGGAACAACACAGTCACCAGTCAAGCAGGTTTGTACCAGTACAACCCTCCTGCACTGGGATCCATCCTTGCTCATTTAAAAAAAAAAACCTTGCAAACGAATTGTTAAAGTTAATATTTTACTGCTAACAGCAATCTCGGTGAAAAGATGGTAAATCAGCATTTGTCTTGTTCTTCTGGGTTTTTTTTATAGATGTCTTTATATGAGATGTTTTCATATGAGAAAAAAGGTAAAACTCCTCCAAGAGGCAGTAACGTGCTTAACAGGTACAGTATTTGAAATTGAAACAGAATTCCCTGACTCTGACTGTGTTAATAATAGGGATACTGCTTGTAGAGTGATCCTTAAAATGAGTATTCTCTTATGAAGTGACTGTGAAAATATTTAATGCATTAAAAAGAAGGCAAGTGCTTAAAACTTGCATTACATTTCAAAACCTTGAGCAATTACAACCTTTAACAGTTAACATCACTTGAGGGCTTTGCCTTTCTACTGGTCTGGAGAAGACTATGACTAAGTCGAGGCTCCCTCAGGTCAAAAGAAATCAAATAACCTTTTGCAAAAAGCAGACCAAGTAATTTGTTTTCCTGGCTCATGTGCTGCTTCAGATTAAGTGCACCTTGTATTTCTGAGTGGATTCCTCCTTCAGGCCACTCTTCTGATGCTGGCAGATGACAGGAAAAGAGGCTGTGTCACTTAAATGAATAATTGCCACTGCAGCCATGGGAAGATAAATTATTTTAGGGACAGCTACAATCCAAATCAAGGGTTATTTTGTGCTGTGCTTAGGAAAGGATGCTCTTAGTCCAGTGTGTTTGCTAACAGATACAGCAGTATAATCATGGCAGTCTAATTAAGGGCAAATGTTCCTGAGTCTGGGAGCTGTGCTAATTCCACTTGGAGCACAGCAGCTGTGTCCCTGTCACTGATGGTTTTCAGGTTATTAGTGCTTTTTGCCAGGATTAATGTTCTCCATGGGGGAAAATGTGAGGTGGGATGGCATCGGAATCGTGTCGTGAGTGGACAAGTGCTTTTCGGAGCTTGTGTTTGTTGAAGTCTGTGAATAAACTGATCTAATGCAAGGCTTCCTTCACACTTTTGTTCTTTTGCTAGTGTTTCAGGGCGTTCACCACTGAAATCTCCTTTGAAACCCCAAGAACCAGCTGTTTCATCCCGAGAAAAAGAACTAGAGGTAAGGTTTTTCTTTGGGGGATAGGGAGGATATCTCTGAATTGCAGTCAAAGTGCAAACCACAGTTGTCCTATGTTGGAGCAGCTGTCTTGGACTGATCTTAAAAATGGGTTGTTTTGAATAAAAGTCCTAGAAGAGGAATTTAAATATGTTAGGACGAATTAAAGGATTGCAGGGGGTTTTGTGTATTAATGGAAAAATCAGAGAAGTGGATAACTTTTCCTCTTGTATTGATTACACCTCTGAGTGATGTAGAGCTGCTTCATGAGAATTTGGCTCTCTTCTTCCCAGACTGCTCTGTATGGCAAGCTGCTGACTGCTAGACAGAAGGTAGCTAATGAGAAGGAAATTCCTCCAGCTGTCCTGGCAACCAATAAAGTCCTTGTGGAGATGGCCCGGATAAGGTAAAGCCAGCATGGAGATCTCTTGTACAAACTGGGGAGGCTGCAAGCCAAGTCACAAATCCCCTTTCTGCTTCTCTTGGGAGAAGGGATAAAGCATCCAAAGTGTCTCCCACAGCTACTGAAAGGCATTGGACAAGAATTTTTTGGGAATGTGTATGTTGTTACTGCATGGAAGAGCTGGGGGCTTATGTGGGAGGTAGAGACAAATAAATATGTTTTGTGGTAAATTGGTTCTCCCAAGTATTAAGTAGCAAACTTGAAGCTTTGCCTGTGGTCAAGCTTGATTTAGAAGTGCAAACAGTGAACTTGATTAGTTGCAGACATAAGGGTACAGTAACAATACTTTCAAGTTTTGATTAAGAGATCTGTGCTCCAAGTGTGTCCTTCACAGACACTTGATGTTTCCAAGTGTTGGCACAGGACATTCCCATGGCTTTTTATTCTTCATCCCAAACCAGGCCTACAAGTGTTGAGAACGTGAAGAAAATTGATGGTGTGTCTGAAGCCAAGTCCACCATGTTGATCCCTCTCCTGGCTGAAATTAAGGACTTCTGCCAAGTAAATGACTTAAAGGTATGACATACTTGAAGTGTCTGCAGCTATGGGACTCCATCGAGTCACCTTTCTGCTTTACAAAAAAAGCAACAAACTTGAATGCCACAGTTTGTTCTGATGGAGTAGTTTCACATGGAATGAGCAATACCTAAGAAGATGTGTTGACCTGGACACAGGTGGTTTTTTTTTTTCTGCCTGGTTTTCTTTTCCGAGTCCCTTGGACAGGCTCGTGCTTGTTTTAAGAAGATGGGAACATGTGGATGCCCATTTGGATTCCCTCTTTCCTTTATTTGTAGAACACCTGAGTTTGGGTCAAAACCAACCTCCAGAGAGGGGGATGATTGATTGTGTTAATGTTACTTATTCAGGTAGCTTCAGATAATGGAAGGGTGACTCATTGGTTGTCACTGGGATATAATTCTTTTTATTTTGCTTCATCTCACTTAGGCTGACGTTTTCCCCACATCTGCACCTAAAAATCAGAAAGAAGCCTCTCCCTGGAAGTGTGCTAGAGCCCTTTCTCCCTCAGAGCATGTCACATATATCCTGTTCCAAGAGAAAAACCTGTCTATGGTAAGCTCTTCCCTCTGGGGGCCCTTTACTTTGAAAACTTACAGCTTTGCTTTGCCCCTCCCAAGGGTAAACCTTGTCAATTGGTCCCTTAGTTAAGTGTGCCTAAGGACAAATTAACAATAAATACTTGTACAATTATTAATGAGCAACTTGATGCTCTGTATCCACTAATCCTGATGATTGTATGCACACTGTGTGTTCCCTGGGGAGAAATGAGTAGAAGCTTGAAACCTAGGGGGTTTTTTTGAGGAGTACAAGGCACCAGTTGGAAATCTCTCCTTGAGAAGTACAAGTCTGGGCCAATGAAGTTTGACATCTTCTTCAAGGCAAATGCTTTAAGAGAAGAATGCAACATGTGAAAGTGAGGGGGGGATTTGTTTTGGTGCTGTTATCCATGTCCTGCATGGATGTTGGGTATTGTGTGGACCTCTGGAAGGTCAGGTGCACCACAGCTGCTTAGTCTCAAAATTCAAGGTGAGATGTTGCACTTAAGCTGTGAAATAGTAGCTTCAAGAGAAAAACCTTCTTTACAAGCTGGAAAAGAAATTAGGCAACTGTGAGGAGTAATGCAGTGTTCTGGGGAGCTTTGTTGCACTGCCGTGTGCTGGTGTCTCCTGATTGCTTTTTGGGAATGGGAAGTTGCCAGGCTTTTGGTTGTGCTTCAGACCATTCTGCCACGTCAATCCCTTCTGCCTTTGTTTCCCCAGAGGGCTATAAGTGAATGCAGATCTTTGCCCCTTGCTGTGGTTGGCACTCACCTGTTGCAGGCCATGAAAGCTGGCTTCCCTGTCAGCCTGGAGCGAGCAGGATTGACTCCTGAAGTTCAGCAGGTCATTACTGATGTTATCCGTAATCCTCCCGTTGACTCAGGTGAGTCATATGGAAAAGACTGAGCATCCCTCTTAAATCTCTATTTACTCAAATGTTTTGGGGGGAAAAAAAACAACAGCCTGACCAAGTAGTACTGGCATCCTCAGAAAACACACTGAGAATTTATCCCAGATCTTATGAGTCAAACTCATACATGGTTTTATTTTCTTACCTTTTCCATGCCTTAATCAATCCTATGCCTTAATGAGGGACAGCCAATGTGTATTGCAGCATAACTGAATAAGAAGCAAGAAGCTTAAAAACCAATCGATGTCGTGTTTATTTTTTTTCCAAGACACTACCAAAATTCAAGTAATTAGAAAGCTTGTTCCTGCAAATATTGAACTGTATCTCATCAAGATGACAATTGCACTATTGGAGAAAGAGGATAGAAATAAGTCTCAAGACGGCTTAGGCATCAAAAGGAGGTTGGTGTGGCCAGAAGGGCAGCAGGAAAAAACAGGAGCAGATCAAGCAAGCAGGGAAGGTGCCTTGTGGAATAAAACACAGGTTAGTAAAAGCAGGTATAAAACTGTTTTTGTGTAAAAGAATGTTTCCTTTGTAGGAGCAGACTAACAGCCCTTCCAGCAGTGCTTAGTGTCTCACCTTGCCAATCCATCTCTCACTCTGTTTGGAATAGAACTGCTTTCATCTCCTCAGAAGAATGCTCAGAGCAGAAACAGAGGATTCTCTTTGGAAAAGTGTTGACCTAGGACACCTGTGCAGCTTAGCTATGATTTGTCACACACATTCCAAGTTCTTCCCTGTCTGAAAACTTGGATAAGCTGGATCCCTCATAGCCACCAAATCCAGGCCGTGCCCTTGCCTTGCTTCTGTATATTAGTACCTGATCACCAACCTGATGTGGGAAGCAAAAGGCAAGGCCAGCCAGTAGTCTCAGTCTTGGGATTCCTCTGCATTTTAAAACTGCTGAGCAGAGCCCTGATAAAAAGTGTCATGCCATTAGCCTGACTCCTTGGGGACAAATCTTGGGAAATGAGGAGCTCTTTGTTTCTGTATGAGCAAGTCTGGGATAGTCTGAGCTCTCCACTGGCCTTTGTGTCCCCCAAGTCCCACTTCAGGACCTTGTACAAATGGCACCTTGCACTGAGTGGCTCCTGGTGAGAATGGTGTAAAAAAAAAAAAAAAAAAAAAAGACAAACTGTGCTTCTGCTGCCTGTGCTGGGAGTTCATGTCTGTTCCTTACACGTTTTGGGGCTGACTGGCTCAAACAATTTTTCAAGCCTTGCTATTTTGCCAAATTGATTTTTCTTGCATGCCTTAGTGCTATTTTCTTTCTACAGTATCTGTGTCTGAGCCTTCTCTTTCCTGCAGCTGACCTCCTGGCACTCCAGTTGCCTGAGCTCTAATCACATTTTTTCCTGCTCCTGTTAGCTCCTGGAGCTAATAACAGGAATAACATGCCATTAGTAATCAAATTAATATTCTACAAATGAGTAGACTGCAAATCGAAAAGCTAATCCAAACAGTTCTTTATTTACTTCTTCAGAAAATATCCTGGTTCTAATAATTCCCTGTAGCAAGCAGCTTTTAAATCTGTTAATGGATGTTCTTGGATTTGAACAGCCTGACACTGCTGCTGCTTTTACAGGGTAATTGGATCAATCCAGCATCCAAGGAAGGAGCAGAGAAAACCCATCTGCACATGGTGCCTTTGGCTTCAGTAAACATATGTTCTTACTCTAATAAAGCATGTGGTAGACTTGCCATTAGTGTGGATTTTGGTAACACAGGGGTGTGTAGCTGATCCAAAAATCTCAGGGTGGCTCTTCCAACCTGTGACCAAGCAGGATCATGTAAAAAAATGGTAACATTTCCGTGCCCACTATGCTGTTAACTGACACTTCTGCTGTAAAAATGCATTTGAACGTGAATAACACAACTGCTTCCTTTGTGTCCCATGTGAAGGTTGTGGGGAGCGTGGATGGCAGCCAGGGAGGGAGCAGAGGGGCAGCAGGCCCCCCGAAGCCCATCGCTGTGACCTCCTCTGACCCGCCTGCCCTCGACCCTGAGGAGGATGAGCTGTTTGCTGACTCTCAGCCCAAGGTGAGACTGCCTGAAGCACAGCCCAGTGCTGCTGATTCGTGTGTGCATCTTCAACAAACCAAATTCCCAGCTCCTGTCTGGGTTTTTAACTGTGCCTAAAACCTGGCCAGCCCACTTGTCTCATTGATATCCTTGATGCAGTGATGCCATATTGCTTTTATTGCCCTGGCTGTGCCTGAATATCCCACTTAGACATCAGCACCCTGCTACAGGAACTTTTTTTTTTCCTCAGTACATCTCATCAGCTATCTCATGGCAGATGCTTCCAACATTTTAAGAGGACTTTTGGTTCCTTTTTTCTCTTTCAGGTAGAGGGTTCTGAGACTATGCTGATCACACTTAGAATTTTTTCACTGGTGTCTGTAGGAACACAATGTCTGTATGAGCAGACATTAGTGGTTTTATTGAAAAAGGAGCTTGTGTCTCTGAACAGGAACACTTGCTCTACCACTTGCTTCAGTTTAAAGCTGGATATTGCTGTGAGTGCAAATATTTTTCAGCCTTGGTTCTCCCCACTGTTAGAGTTTAATTCTTAATCCCTCAGTTACTTGAATGAGGTGTTGGATTTAAGTGAGACATAAGTCTTCCGGGATCAATTTAAACAGCTTCTGTCTCCAGATGAGCATGAAGTTGAGGAGTAGAGCTGTGTAACTGAGACAACCTGTTTAACGTGTGTTTCCTTCCATGTTTATTAATGTCTTTCCAGAACTCTTATTTTCCTCCCAAGCGGAAGGTGCCAGAATGGTTTGGGACCTCAGCAGCAGCAACAGTTCTACCTGTAACCCAGACCAAGAAATGCAAAACGGAAACCAGAAAAGGGATTTTCAGCTGAACGGGGAAATCAAGATCTTTTTTTTTTTTTTTTGTATCATGAGCATTATCAGCATGGCCTCTTGCCTCCTTATAGAGGGGCTTAAGTGCTCCTGTTCTACTCTTTTTCTCTTCCCCCTCCCTTATGCTTTTTTCACTGTGTGAAATCCGATATTAATTAAAAATAATACATAAATATATATATATATGTAAGTAAATAACTTCGTGCGTGGGGCGAGGGGGTTAATGGCGTGCGGGGCCGCGTTGCCATGGCGACGCCCCGCCCGTTTCCGGGGCGGTGCGCGCGCGGGGGCTGCCGGGAGCGGCATGGCCCGCTAGGCGGCGGCGGCGCGCGGGTGAGGCGCGGCGCGCGGAGGAAGGGGGGGCGCGTAGAGGGGGGACCGGGACGGGAGAGAGGACTGGGACCGGGACAGGATCGCGGGAAGGAGGCGGGGACGGCTTTCCCAACCTCCTGCCCGCGGGTATCGCGGCAACCGGGCGCCCCTCGGGCCGGTGGTTTCCGGCCGCGCTGCTACATTGTCCCCTGCGCCGCTTTCCCCCCCCCCCCCCGCTAATGCGGGCGGTGGGTGCCGGTGCCCGCCTCTCCCGCACCCTTGTGGGCGCACTCAGCAATCCCATTCTCCGCCCCCGGGGTCCCGGTGGTGCTCTGCCGCCTTAGCCCTGGTGCTTTAAGTCCTCACGCAGTGGGAGGAGGATGGGAACAAGAATTAAACAGCTCCGCGGGGAAGCGGTCCCGGCACCGAGCCTGGCAGAGTTCAGGGAGCCTTTGGACGGCGCTCTCGGGCACATGGTGGGGTTCTTGCAATGCCCCGTGCAGGGGCAAGTTGTACTCGACCCTTAGTGGGTCTTTTTCAAGTCGGCATATTCTGTGATAAACAGATACCTCCGCTCTTAAATACCTTGTTGAGCCAGACACCTGTCTCTCGCCTCTCTCCCGTGGCAGAGCCATGGATCCCAGCTTGCTCAGGGAGCGGGAGCTGTTCAAGAAGCGAGCCCTCTCCACACCGGCCGTCGAGAAACGCCCGGCACTGCCCTCGGACTCCTCTGCCTCCAAGAAGAAGAAAGTCAAGGTAGAACAAGGGGGCTCCTCCAGCTCTAAACAGAACTCAGGTAGGTGAGGGTGTCCTGTGTGGCAGCTGCTCGGTGTTTCCCACTGCCTTCCTCTTAAGCTATGATTTATTAATGTGAATAACACTATATCTGTGAGTTTGGCTGGTGGCTGCTGCCATTCTTTCTCTTAAATAAGCGCTTTTTCTTAAGAAATTCGCTTGCACAATGTGAAAAAAGACATTCTGTACCGTGCATATGTGTTAAGCCTCGTTCTGGTGACTTGTTTGCTGTTACTCCATTGGATGAATCGCTGCTGCCAAAATAATTCATGTGAAACTGGGCTTTGGTTTGTGGATTTTGGTGCTTGCTGGGCAAGCAGTAACAGTGATTTCATTCATTTTCTCTGTCTTTGCCATGTGGGACAGAGCCTGGAGCAACCTGGTCTAGTAGAAGGTGTCCGTGCCCATGGCAGGGGGCTGGAACTGGATGAGCTTTAAGGTCCCTTCCTGCCCAAACCATTCTGTGATTATTTCTGGCAAGAGAGCAGCTAAAACATTTAGCAAACTGTAAATTGAGGGGTATCCATGCATGGGATGGATTTTGCAAGGTACATCTTGTCTGGCTTGCATGTTGTAATTAGCAGTTGTCCTTGTTTTGCCTGGGAGCACCAGGGCCTCCAGAGGTTTCTGCCTGCTTTCCTCAGGAGTTATGTGGTTTCCCTGGGATGGTGGCACTGGTAATGCATGTCTCAGTATCAAATAAGCAGTTAATAAAGCAGCAACAAAATAGTGGGAGCGTGTGGAAAGTGCACTGGGAGAGAATTTACTCTGAAAGCGGTGGCAGTTCTTGACTGCAGTCTAAAGGTCAGATCAAATGTGAGGAGTTACTAAAAACACAAAACACCCTGCTGTGCAAACTCAGTCCATTCTCATATATTGGATAATGCCACATGTGGCTCTGTCCTAAACTCTAAAAGAAATGACAGAGCTTAAAACAATGGAGAAAAAGTCAAGGATGGTGGGAGGAGTGAAATGTCTTTTGTCTGAGGGGAAGAGTACAGAGTGTGAACCTGTATCTGCAGCTTCTCAGGCCCCAAACAAAGTTTATCAGCCAGACATTCTAAAATAAATCAGGGGAGGCCAGTTTTCCATCCGTCCCTTTGCCATGCTCTCCAAATAAAATAAAATTCCAAGTGGGCTACCCTAAGCTGTGTCTCCTGAGTGAGAGCATTTAGCAGGGAAAAAGGGATGAGGAGGCATGAAGAGGGTGGAGGGTTCAAATGTGAGTCTGATCTGGAGGACTGGAGCAGATGAAGAAGCTTTAAGTTTGCTTCTGTGGTTTTGTGGGCTGAGAGTTACTTTGAGTGCTTTTGCGGCTGTCAGACAAGGAGCTCACGCAGATGGGGACACAGTGTGGCAGGGAGGAACCACACTTGATCTTTTATGCTGCTGGCTTCCTTCCAGATAGTATCAGAAAGGTTTCAAGGTTTCTGTTAGATTTTTATGCTGCAGAGTTGAAGTCCTTTGCTTCAAAACCCGCTTTATATTTGAGTTGTCAGACTGGCAGGTGCCTGTTGGCATATGGGGGTGTCAAGGGTGGGTCTGGGGAGGTGGAGTAAAAACCTGACATCGAAGAATCCCTGTCCCACCTCCCCAAAGGAACGAAAATTAATATGATCAGTGCTAGTTCTGTTGTGTAGTGACCACAAAGATGATAAGTGTGTGATTGAGTGTTGCACTGATCCGTAACACCCACAGAATCCTTGCTCTGTGATTCTGTGACTCAGAGAACCTACCCTGGTCACTTTTGGGGGGAGGAGAGGTAGGGAGATCTTGCTAATCCTCAGATGACTCCGTAGCTAAATCTGGCCCCTGTGTGAAGACTGGCTCTGAGCTTCCTACTGTTACTACAGTGATTACTCTAGTGTGATTACTATCGTTATTTAAGATCATTATTCCAGCAAGTTGCTTGAAAAAATTCCAAACTGCCTTGTTTATTCAGTTCAGATTTAGTAACTGCAAAATAAACGAAATAGATCAAAGCTGTTTGTTCCTTTTTATTAATGAACAGTAAGTCGTGGCTGTGGTCTTCATCTTAAGACCTTTGTCTTGGTGGTCTTTGCCAACACTAGTCCAGAGCCAAAATCTCCAGGGGCTGTTTCATGGGAAAGAATCATCCTGAGTCTCTAGGGTTGTGCAAGGGGGAGACTTTTGCCTTCTGTTCCTTGTGCAGACACCCATTCACCTTTGTAGACCTGGGGAATAAATAGCTGGAATGGGTCCCAAGATTTGTCATTCCCTGTGCTTCTTGGGAGGGCGTAAGAACACGGTGCCAGCGCAGCAGAGGCCGACCTTGGTGCTTCCTGCACGCTGCCTTCCTGTGTGCAGCCATGGTGGGCATCTTGTGGGAATGCTGCAAGTGTCCACAGCGTTTTCTTTCTGGAAGGAGAAGCACCAATTAATTCAGTGTATCCCAATGGCGACTCTGGGCCTCTCTTGAGCTGGACACTGGTTATTCCAGGCTGATGCTGCCGCATGCAGCAGAAGGTCGTGATTACCACCAGTGTTGTCTTCATCATAAGTCTCGGTGTGGATCCTAAATTATCTTGTACTTGGGGCATGAGCTTCCATTAATTGTGCTTATAGTTTGATTTTTATCTCAGAGCGTTCTCCGCACGCGGGGCTGGTTCTGGCAAAGCTTCACTGTTGTAAGAAGCGCATCTGAGATGGATGGTTGCAGCGGTCACGGTGTTGTTTTGTGGCTGCAGAAGGGAGTTTGCTTCTCCAGGTGAATCACTGGCCTGGCTGTGCTGGTTTGCAGTGCCCTGGATGTCTGGCAGCTCCATCTCACCGACCAGGAGCAGCACGAGTCAATTAGCAAGTCTTCCACTGTGTCCAGATCTTCTGGAGCTTAGGCATGCTCACCCTGAGAGAGGGAGTTGATACATTAACAAAAAAAAGAGGTAATTATAGGTACTGGCCATAGCACAAAGGTATTTCAGTGAGGTCACTTTTTCTTTTTGCCATTTAGGTGGGTTTGTTTCCCTCATGACAGAACTTTTGTTTGCTACCAGACCCCCTCTAGTGCTGTGGTTGCCACAGAGGCAGCAACCTTGGGGCAGAGGAGTGTCCCTGTTTCTCCTCAGCAGTGGTACCACTGCTGTAGGATTCTGTGGAAAGGGGCAGATATTCTGAAGGAAGTGGGTTTCTCAGGTCTCGACACCCAGAAATTGTTGACCAGGTTGAATATGAAATAAAGGGAGAACAGTTCTCTGGAACTGGAGAACTGGAGGAGAGAGAAAGGGTCAAACTACCACAGGAGGTTAGAAAAGACCGTTTTAGGGATACATTTCATATTGACTTAATTTTCTGTCTCTTCTAAAAGCAAGAAACCTATAATAAAAAGTGCTGCCAAAGGCAAGAATTCACCCAGTGCTGTCCTGTCTGAGGGGTCTCCTGCCGTCCACACCCTTCTCTCCCATGTCTTTTCTCACCCCTGGTCTGTCTGTCCTGTCTCTGTGCAGTTGACTTGGTGGGATGGCAGTGCTGTGTCTTTGCACTGTGTGTGATCAGACTGTTGAGTATTTTTATAAACATTTTCTCTGGTTAAGCAACACAGATTTATGCACATTAGGCAACATTTGTTCAGTCAGGTAGACAAAATTCTATGCTAGTCACTCAATATAAACAGCAAAAGTTCATTTAAAAGCAAAAATCTTTTCTTCCCCCGTAACACTGCAACAGATTGTCCTTCTGCTAAACACTTGGAAAACCTTTGCCAATTGTTCCAGTTCACATCCAGAGATAAAGTTACAACCTGTTGTATATTTAAGACCAAACCAAAAAAGCACGTGACTTGCTCATCTGTAAGGTACAAGAGGCTTCATTCAAGGTGTCAGATGTTCTCCAAGCGCTGGTGCTCAGTCCCTCCTACACCACCTCTGTTTCACGCTTCCTGAAGCTGTTCAGCATGGCTCTGACAGGATTGGGTTCGTTCTCCAAGTCTTTCACAGTCTTGTTTTTCACACAGCAGCAACAGTCCAGCAGTTCGTAGAGGAAAGCCAGCACCACCAGAGAAACCACAGTGAAGATGAATATGATCAGGATAACAAAGCAGGCGGTGTTCCAGTTGTCATGGAAAGGGTAAATTTTTTGCACCTGGAAGCCCAGGTACTGGGAAATGGATGTAGTCTCGTTCCAGTGAGTGCTGTTGAGGGTTGCCATTCTTCAGGAGTTGTCTTGGCGTGCTCGCCAGCACAGATTTGGGGGCTGAAACACAAAAACAAAGCTGTTGAGGACTGTCAGTCAAGGACATGCTGTGATTTTTTTTTTTTTTTATCACAAACTGTAAGAACTTCAGCTCAGACTAAGTGCTCACACCTCCTACAGCCACGGATGGCTGCATGCTCATATTTGCTCACAGAAGTGTCTCGCTCCAAATGCACAACTTTGGGATTGGTCTGGAACGTTTATTTCGGCAGTGTCTGGTCTGTGCAGGCATCACATGGTGTGAGTTATTCAGGAATGAGGGAACTTGGCTTCTTTATTTCAGTTCTGTGCACAGACAGAAAAGTTACTAAGATAATTTTCAAGGTCTACAGTGGTTTCAACCTCTGGAAATCCGGTTTTTGGTGCTGTGGTCATTGGGATTTATACCAAGGAAAACTCAACCCTTTCTGAGGAGTTCTGATTTCTTATTTTCAGCTCTGCTTAACTGCTGGGGAAGGAATGTCTCCCTGGCTCCAGTGCTGTGTGTTTGCACCCAGCAGAAGAGGCTGCTTGGGGGTATGGGGAGAGATGAAGCAAAAGTTGGCTTTGGTTTATAAATCTGCCTTTGGTTTATAGTCTTATGTAGTAAGAATTGTCCAAGGAGCCACAGTAACTCCTGGTTGCTTGTCATGGCGTGCTGTAGGATGTCATAATAACCTTTGAATCCCTCAGGCAATTTAAAACTGGGTGTGAGAGAAAGAGATGGAGTCAGATCTCCATACTTCCTTGAGGAAATAGCAGCAAGGAGTTTTTAGGTGGAGCGTGGTGATGATGGTGTGTACTAAAGCAGCTGACTTTAAGCAGTCTAAGCACCTGCCCTCATTTCTGTGGAATTATTTAAAAAAAAAGGTATATAGTGAAAACCAGGATGATGCAGCCCAACCAGCTTGGTATCTGTGTCTTGCTTTTATCATTCAAATATTATACATTTTGTTTTTTATCCTTCTGTCTTTAATGGATTTAAATTGAAACAGAACACTTTTGTGGTTGGGAAGGTACCTGGCATTAGCATTCCATACAGACATTTACTGGAGCAGTTGCAGTAACTTACTGTGTCCTCTGTTAAATCTGTAACTGAATACACAGATTAGTAATTGAATATACAAAGTATGACTGAGATGGGTAGGATTAATGAAACTGTTTGTTGGTGTTTTTTTTCTTAAACAAAAGTTTACAGAGAGCAAACCCAAGCTAAAAATACTCCTGAGTTGAGTCAGGTCCTGGCTTGATTTGGTCACAGTCTAGGAAGGAAACTAAGCGGACTTGTTTGGGGCTAAAAGTCAGGAGGGCTTTTAAAGGGGTGACCTGAAGACTTATTTGAAAATCTGTGAGAGAGAGGACGGGCTGAATAAAAGGATTTAGAGTCCCCTTAGAGGAGTAATTAAAATAACTGGGATTTAATTGTGTATTTTAAATGGCAAGAGGATATTCTTGGGAAACAAAGCAGTTTTGTTTCGAACTTTTTGTAAACAGATTTCTAAGACTGAGGGTTTTGCTGGAATCTGTTACTTGTAAGTTTGCTCTCTCTGTAAACACATGGGCACAAAAATGAACTGCTCACGTGATTCAAAATTTACTATTTTTAGTATTTTTTTTCCATCTGGGGCACGGCGTGGCTGCACAGTGCAGCATCCACCCCCCTTCCCACTCCACAGCCACCACTAGGGCACACTCATCTTTATTCCAGGAGGTGGAATTTAATGCCTTGCTGGAGGTGGTTTGTGCCCCTCGAGGATGATGATGATTTCCTTAGATTTGAATAAAGCAAGGCAGATAAAGATTAGCTAGTCATAGCTGTAATTATTAAAATACATGACTGAAGTAGCTGTTGCTAGGTATTCAGAATTACCACAGTAGTAAGGTTAATGTCCTTGAAAACTGTCAAAAATGGGCTGTTTTCCTGCAGTTTCACTTATTTTGTAACGACACAGTTCAAATACACATCATCAGCCAGTCTGATTTGAAACCAAGTCAGCTGTTATATGTATCCAAAATGCAGGGAGTTAAATATTTAATGAACTGGCTCCTCTAATATCTGTACTAGGTTTTAATTTAAAAGCATTACCATCTTTAGGCTCTGCAGAGGAGCAGCTTTATTTGAAACCATATTCATGGAGCAGAGGGAAATGACTGGCAAAAAAATCCTTTTAATGCAGTACTGGGGAAGTCCTGTTTAAGCAACCACTGAATAGACATCTTGAGGTAAAAGCATTTACAAATCTCAGATGGATTCTAACCTGTCCGTTTGCCTTGTGGCTGCTCCGATATTCCAAAGGTATATTCCAAACATGCAATGTGATTTTCACCCAATATAACACATTTCTAGAACAAGTTTCTCGCACATCCACGCACACAGACCTCTTTTAGGCAGCCTAATTTACGGAATACCCCCTGGGAGGTAGCATTTCTCACGTTTCAGGTTGAGCTGTCTTTGTTTTAAGGAAAAGCCTTTCACTGGCGTTTCTCTAAAAACCTATAGAATCAATCACGGGCAACGTGAGGCTGCAGGAAACGAGCCACCTCCCCTGCAAGGATGAAATCCATTTTGTTCACTGAATCTTGGCTGCTGGTGTTAGCTTTGCTGTAAGATGGAGTGGTCATCAATTTTCCATTAGTGCACAGATGGTGAAAGTGCTTGTCTGATCGTGCAAGACAAGCTCCTCCGCGTTCAGCGGGATTAAACCCTGCTCAAACCTAGAGAAAAATCACCCTGATTCCAAGCAGCTTTTGCAGGTTCGTAAGCTTACAGGCATATTTTCTTTCAGTAATCAAGATAAACCGAAGAGAATGTTATAAAATGATACACACCTACCTCTCGTGTGAAAGGATGCTGCGAGAGCGCCGTTCTGGTCCCTTTTTTTAGTGCAGCCTTATGGCACAGCTAAGATGGAGCTTTCCTACCATTGGCCAGAGCACGATGCTGCTGACAACTTCCTTTGTGCTCATTTGCATCGAGCCCTCAACCCCAGGAGTAAATCATTCATAAATATGACTCTGACAGTCTGGAATAAGGAACAAAACCCTCCCCGCCCCTGTTTTTTTGGGACGGGATGAGCTCGGTGCAGCAGTGGCCACGACCCTGCTTTGCTTTGCTCTGTGCTGGAGTCAGCCATCAGACCGTGAGGTTTGAAGTGTTAATATCTGCAGATTTCCAGCCTCCCTGTGAGCTTAGATTCCCCTGTCATGAACTGTAGCAGGCTCTAGCCCGGCAGATTAAACAAGATAATCTTCCCGATTCAATCGACAGAATAAAGACATGATGGGTTGTCTTAACTGTTTGTCTCTTACCTCTGAATTTATTTTAATCACTTCACTGTTTGAAGTAACACATGCGATTTTTTTATCTATTTATAAAATATTCTGCGTAGACATTAATATTTAATGTTAAAAGGGAACCCTGCGGGGGAAAATCCCTACGGGATGTCTTTTCAGAGGAAGCTGGCTTTTGTTTTTCTCCCTTTTTTCAGTCTTAATTTAGTAACCAGAATAAAATGTTCTTCAGCAGTTGGAGTTCCACTGATTCTTCTGCATTAATTTTAGAATTGTTGTGCTATGTGAAGCCTCTAACACAATGTCAGCTACAGAATTCTGGTTTTTTTCTCACCCTCCACTGATTTTTCCACGGAAAGAGTAGGAGCTCAGTATCTTTGAGATACCTGTTGTCCTGTTATATGTACTTAGAAATTACCAGTGGATTAAAAAATTCCCGTGGTGACGAAGAGAAGATGTTCTTTCCCTGGAGTAGCTGAAATTCCAAAAAGCTGTTGCCATTAGGTTTGAGCAACCCTGTGCTGGTAAATGGGCCTGTGGCTTGTGATAGTGGTTTGTGGATATTTGTGTTTAATGTGCTGTGCTAAGAGCTGAAGTTAATGAAATGGTCATTAACAACCTTGCAAGAATTTTTGAAACAACATGATAAAGATTTGACAACAGAGGGGATTCTGAACTGTTGTTCCAGTGGTGCAACACATCAGGTTGAATTGTTTTGAATTTATAGGAGTCTGTTTAATAAATTTCTCCACTAGAGCTACTTTAAACAATAAACAAATAAAAAATCACAGCCTTCCTTTACCTGCTGTGTAACCCTTGAATGCCTTCTGGGAAGAAGGGAAGCTTTCTGCCCCCATCTCAGCTATCTCAGTAGAGCCAATGCAGTGCATTATTTCAGGCTGGATTAACGTAGTGTAAATGATTATGGGATGTTAAGCCACCGAATTAAACATGTTCTCTTATGGTCATAACGCTGCAGTCACTTGCTGCTGTCTTAAAGGTCAAGTCTCAGGGAATTTTTTATTTGTGGAGCTCTGCTCAGAAATGTTCCAGAGCCGTGTCCACTGACTCTGGGTCTGGATCAACTCGTGTGGTAGGACAGAATCCCGAGGGTGTCTCCTCCTGCCACGCACCTTTCTGTCCATAGATGTCATTCTGAAACCTTCTGAAAGGAGAGTGAGAAGGAGACAGAGCTCAGAACCAGCAGGGTGGTCTTGAAGCATCGTTAATTTGTTTGTTTTCTCCCCCTTTGTAGATCACAGCAATGGATCATTTAACTTGAAAGCCCTTTCAGGAGGCTCTGGCTACAAGTTTGGAGTCCTTGCTAAAATAGTGAATTATATGAAGGTATGGTGTTTTGGTGTAAAACTACCATGTTTTTAAGTACTTGGATTATTTATTCTCCCCTGGGAGCTGAAAGATGCTGAATATTTCAAACTCCAAAATTCTTTTTACTGCAAGAGTGAGAACTTCAAGAAACTGCTTGTTAAATTTGAAGTGCTGTCAGTAAACAAAATTGTCAGCACATTGTTCCATTATTGAAATCCTAATTGTCCCAGGTCACTTTACAACCAGGGTAATGGGTTTTGCTTGCAGGAGTTGCAAGCTGCTGTCAGCTTTTAGAATTCATGACCTATTGATCAAGATGAACGTGTAATTTGGTGCCAGTGTTAGTTACTTTATGATAATTGAGTTGCTGAATAAAGTGATTACAGAGCTCTAATAGATCCTGTTTGCTTTTCCAGACTCGGCACCAGCGGGGTGATACACATCCATTAACCCTTGAAGAGATCTTGGATGAAACACAGCATTTAGATATTGGACTCAAACAGAAACAATGGTTAATGAGCGAGGTGAAAAAAACATACGTTTAGATTTGAATTAAAGATAAAGGATTATGATAAACCTGAATCATACACATTTATTTAATTTCAAGCTCTATAGATATGTGTTCCCTCCTTAAGAAACTGCTTAGATTCACATCAATGTGAATCTCCTACCTCTCTGCATAGTAAAACTGGGATGGTTCTACCTAATACAGACTGTAGCATTCCTTTGTTCTGGGGAACAGAAACCTCCACTCTGGCAGTGGTTTTTGTGAGGGAAGCTTGGCTTTGCTGAAGTCTTTCAAAAGGTAGCTCCAGGTTGCTTCCAAAATGAACCAGAATATCAAAATGGAACAAAAAAGCTCCTCCCAAGAAACGTATATAAAATTATCCCTGGACTTTTGCCAGATGAGAACAGGTGAACAAATACCCTGCAGCACCAAAGCTGGGTACATTCTCTGTGTCGTGATACAGTATGCCTAGGCATAATTAAATCCAAGGATTTAAAATCATTTTCAGCTCAAACCTCCAACCTTGGAGCTTTGAAGTGTGGCTGACGTGCTCAAAACCACACCAGAATAAAACTAATGAGCGTGTGCACTTCTTCAAAGTTTAAAATTTCTGTCTCTGTTCCAGGCTCTAGTCAACAACCCGAAAATAGAAGTTGTGGATGGGAAGTATGCTTTCAAACCCAAGTACAACTTGAAAGACAAAAAGGCTCTGCTCAGGCTCTTGGACAAGCATGACCAGCGAGGCCTGGGAGGAATCCTTTTGGAAGACATCGAGGAAGGGCTGCCCAACGCACAGAAAGCTATAAAGGTGAGGAGCACATGCAGTTCAGCCAACCCAACCAGTTATTCTGCATCTTTGTTGTGCCTTTTTGTAGCACAAACTTTGTGTCTGTCGTTGGAGTCGGAGACGTTATGCTTGGAAGTGATTTTGAGTTGCTCTTTTGCATTTGTTTTCGAGGCTTTAGGGGACCAGATCATCTTTGTTAATCGCCCTGATAAGAAGAAAATTCTTTTCTACAACGACAAGAGCTGTCACTTTGCTGTGGATGAAGGTGGGTGCTGGTTTAGGTAGGTTTCCCTGGCAGTTGGTTTGAACTCATCTGAAGCAGCTCTGGGTATAAGCAGTCTTCAGGTGTGGCAGTCTTTTAAGGTGCTGATGAAATATTAGGTGTATCCAGATGTCAGGAGAATGTTTATATTATCACAAGGCTAACGAAAGCAGCGAGTCCAGGGGTAGTATCCTCTGGTTTATGATGGATACATTGGAATGTGGCATCAGGAATCCAGCAGTTGTCTTCAGGGATAGCGGTACATGGGACTAAAAACCACCTGACTGTGACTAAAATGGCATCTAACATTTTGCTGTTTGAAGGGCAGCCAAAAAAACCCCCAAATAATGGCTCGTGGGTGCAAGTTTTTTGTTGGTTTTTTTTTCCCAGTTGATTAACCATGTGCCTTTTATTGGCAGCGAGAAGCCACTAATGGAACAGAAGGAGGAAGCAAAGAGGGAGGAGATATGAGCAAAATTCTTGAGAAGGGGTAGTTTATAACTGGGAGGAGAGCACAGATGTGGGGTAGTGCTGCTGCCCAGAGCTGGAGTGGATTTTGGACTTCACAAGTGCAGCGTGTGTTTTCTGTGTCACAAATAATGGTGAAATCCTCTAGTGCAATTTTGTGCACAGAAATTAATTACAGAAATCAGGGGGTATTCCAGTAATGACATTTATGCCAAAATCAGGTGTCTGTAAGTGCAGAAAGGAGGGGACAGTGTGTGTCAGAAGATTTTACTTTAAATGACTCAACAACACTGGACACTTTGTTAATGTATTGTTCTGGTAACATGCCACTTAAAGCCATTGCACCGTATGAGAGGTGACATCTCCAGCATTTAAAAATATAAAAAACGCTTCAAGATGTTGAAGTGGATCTCTTTAAGTGGTAATTTCTGTCATTTCTTGATAATGAGAGCAGAACTATGTGTGAAATGCAGAATGCATTCACTGGGGAATTTCTGACTCCCAAATGCTTAGGAGTTTACCACGAGCACTGCCATCCTGTTCACATAATGCCTCTTCAGTCTGTCAGCTTTTGGGGGTCTGAAGATGGCCAAAACATTTAGAGATCAGTGCTCTTGCAGTAGCTGTTATGACAAAGCTTTTAAGTTTTTAGCAGCCACTGGTTGTCTCACAGTCGTGACTGCTGAATGTTTCCTCTTGTGCAATCTTCTTCCAGATAACTGGAACACAGCCATCCTTGTTCAGGAACAAACAGTGCAGGCTATTGCTATGAGAGGGAGGAAGAGGTTAAAAAAAAAACCCTTTAAAACTCCTTGAAACAAAGTGTTTAAGCCGTTTGTCTCAACCTCCCGCTGAAGGAAGGCATTTAAGTGTATGTCACAAAGGATCCAGCGTGCAGCGTTTGTAGTTCAAGGTGTCTCTGCTTCCTTTTATCCGCAGGTGGCAGCAGCTTCCCATCTGATCCAGAAGTGATGTTCTGTTGTTGTTGTTCTGTTCCTGCTGGTTTTGGTTTTCCTTTTGATGCTTTGTTCGGAGAGGGAGGAGGAATACTTTCTCTTTTTGTGACTGTTGTGATCTGCCCTCATACGCCGCAGTGCTTAAACCATCCCTGAGTAGATTCACTCACTGCAACTGGAACAGGTCCTTTTCCCGAACTGTGTTATCCTGTGATGAAGAAAACCCATCCTTCCCGAGCAGTTTCGCTTTAGGATTCTTTCCAGAGCACCAGAAGGGTGTCTCCAAGGGAGCCACTGGCAGGATTGTCTGTGTGCAGGATGAGTTATGACACGTCTCTGCCTTAGCAGTGCTGTTGCAGCTCATTATCTCCGGCAACGTTAAAATGAGATTTTTAGAAGACTGCAAAATAAGCCTTGAAGTGTTGGCAGAGTCTTTGATCTAGCAGCTGATGACAGTTCAAAATATGTTTCTAGTTTAATGTTTATCCTTAGAAATAGGGGCTCTGTGCTCCTCAGTGCATGGTGCTGCCGTATGACACTCCAGTTCAGAACGTGTGTTGGCTGGGATTAATATCCTCGGAAACCTGGGCATCCTCTCCCACCGCTGCCTGAGCTCCATCAGCAGGGAAAGAGGAGCTGCTGGGGCAGTTTGGATTTCCTTGCCTGGAGCAGTGGGAGGACCTGCTTTCTGGCAGTGCCTGCCTCTGTCCCTTGATGGCTGAACAAGCTTTTCTTTCTCCCCCTGTGAAAATAAATCCCAATGTACCGCAGCAGCAGAGCAGTGCCTATATATCGTGATCTCAAGGGTACTGGGGAAGGTTTTAGCAGCAAGGAACAGCTTTTGTTCTTCCTTTTATGTGATTAGCCAAGGAGGGTTCAGATTGCATGTGTTCCTTCTGGACTTCCTGGCTAATTAATCTTCTGTCAGTGGCGTGGAGCTGAAAGCGTTTATAAAAGCCGGGCCAGATTTCAGGTGCTTCAGCCAAGTCAAGCGCTGCCTTTTTGTGCTGGGGCGAAGCACTTTGCATGTGAACCAGGCTTTCACCCCTGTGCTGAATGCTGAAAGGCCAGTCTGATTGCCTAACTGCTAGAGATGGTATCTTTCCCAGCTGAATGCACTATAGGAAGTATTTGAATGCTAAAAAAATTCGGGTACTTAATTATGCGGGTTTTTGAAATTCTTCCTAAGCACCTTTGAAGAGATTTAGAGGATGGCCAAAGCCTCTTAAATTTAACAGCATAAAAATTGCTTGGGATCAGTGCTGACTTACAGATCTGGTGGTCCAGGGACAGCACAGATTTAACATCAAGCACCTTTTCCTTCTGGTATAAATCCAGTGCTGCATTCCCTGGGACTTTTAGGAAGCAGGACTCCATCTTCCCCTCTACTCAGTTGTTTCTTCCCTTCTGCCCTGTTATTGTCTGTTCTTGTCCTGTGCTAAGATTTTGGCTCAGCTCAATGGAGATTTTTAAGCTGGTTTTAATCTCTGGCAGATTTTATTACCAGCATGATATGTCAGTTTATCTCCAAAGCCATCTCAACCTTTCTGCAAGAGCAGGTGAGGCAGTGAGAAGTGCAGGATAAGCTGCTCCAAAGTCACCACGCAGTCATTTACCCATGACTCCGTTCCCCAAATGTAAGCATTTATAGGAAGGAAGTGTCTTAGGAGTGTAATCACTCAGGGAAATGTCAGTGCAAATTGTTTTCATTTATGAGGCACCTTGTGATGCAGTAAAATGGAGGCAACTGAGTATTTGCCCCTTGGAAATTTCAGAGAGAGAAGGTGTTTGCATAATCTTTGTTTTGCTGCTTTCTGCTTAGCTACATTTTGGTTTCTGCTGGTCAGAGCTCTTTGTTTTAAGTCTGTGCATGCAGACATCATGTTGCTGGAGATGTCATCAAACACCTGAACTGGCTTTTCAGTCAGCTCCTGGTCTCATTCCCTCCTCTCATTACTTGAAAGACCAAAATTTAGCTCTCTGGAGGAGCAAGGGAGCAGGCTGCTGGTGGTGTTGATTCTGTCAAGCTTCTGAGTTAAAATATTTTAGTGATCAAATTGCAAGATACCACAGATAGGATTTGTTCCTCACACTTACCTCAGTGCTGGGATCACAGCTTTCTGCCTCTTGCATTGGAGCCAGGACTTAAAAGCTCTGTGGAAAATGCAAATCTCCTTGAGGGTTCAAGGCACCTGCCTGGCTTTGGCCAGAAACTCGAGGGAATTTTCTCCCCAGGGGATTTTTTTTGGGCTCTCTCTTGTCAAAGCAGCCTAAGCTGTAGGAGAGATTGTCGGCTTGCCTGAATGCAGCCTGCTGCAGGCAGGTGAAGCCTTGCTTTTTTCCTTCCATAGCCATTTTACACTTGCTCTGGCTGATCTATAAAATAATTTAGTGGCTCTGATAGAAGAGTCTCTCACCTTCACCGTGGTGTGATGGTGTAAAAAATCAGGTAACAGGACACAGAGAAGGAAAAGTGAATGTGCTCTGTAACCATAATGGCTACACACACTGCAGGAACGTGTGCATCCCAGCCTGCTCTCTGTGCCTGGCTGGAGCAGGCCAGCATGTGGTGAGCTTTCTGTTCCAACTATCCCTTTCCTGCTCCTCGCTCCAGCACTGATCTGCCTGTTCCCTGTCGTCAGAGAAAAGAGAGACATGGTAAAAAGTGGATCCGGTGTATTGAAACCTTCCCTACGAGCTGCCTTCTGTCTCTGTTTGCTCTTCAGACACACAGCAAAGGCCAGCATTTGTGACAGCATTTCAGGTCTTTCTCAAGGAAATTGGGAGAAATCTTTTCCTGTCTCGGGTCAAGGGTATCATTTTTGAGGTGCAGAGGTACCGCAGCTACAAAAGCAGAGGGTTGTTTCTTGAGAGCTGCAGTTATTGCCAACTTTTCCCACAGGCTCTCATATTTCAGAGAGGATGTCACAATAATTCAGAGAGTGTATTCCCAAGGTCTAAACTTTCCCTGGTTGATAGGGGCATAGTCCTTGGAGACTTAAATCTGACAGGTAATGTGGAAATGGTTCAGTGCCAGCCATCCAGCTACTCTCTTTCTTCAGGCCTTGCATTTAGCCCGGTGTCTGGTGTTACGTGGAGTCGGTTTTGTGATGAGATGATGGATGGCTGTCCCTTCCCTTTTAGATGGCGCCCTAAATGCAAACAGCTCATATGCACTGAAGGGTGGCAGCTCCGTGTGCTTCTCCACCTTTATCCTGTGCTTTTAGTTCCAAACCAGTCCTTCAACACAGAGTATTTCTGTGCTGTTGTGACTCCCCCTTTCCTGGGCAATGAAGTGTTTTAAAGCCCTACATGGAGCTCTAGCATGGGAATAAGATGCTTTTGCAATTGCTGCAATCAAAGCAGTAGTGCTGAAGGAAGCCTGATTTATGAAGGAATTTTTAAATGGAGTTGCAAAATAGGATACAGTGGTTCTGGTGGGGCCAATTAGTGGATTAAATTATCTGTATGTAAAGTCCATTTTAGCTTTGCTCTTTTGGTTCTTGGTGAATGTTCCATTCATATTTTTTGGCCAGGTTGAAAGGGCGGATGTGAAGCTGGAATGATGGCATAACCTCTGCATTACAAGAAATGCAGAACACTGTAGTTAGATATTAACTGTGATCTGCACTTGTGTGCATGCTGATCCTTGAAGAGCTGACCATTTATTTTCTAGTGTTTAATTTTTCACTTCAGTTCCCCAGAAGAATGTAGACCAGTTTAACCTTAAGGACCTATCCTCAGCTTTTTTTTTCTTTTTTAAGAACCAGGGCATATTTGTCCATATATCCTGAACTCTAATGAGGACACACATCATCTGTGTTTGTTTCAGGATGTTATAAATAAGAGTACAAACCTTCTCCACCTCCCGCAACAGGATAAGGTGAGGAATGATCTGTGATAGCAGGCACTGCCAGCTGTGCTAAAAGCCTGGAATCCCCCTCAGAATGGATGAGCAGACAGAGAATGTCTTGACTACATTGTCAGTCCTTGAATTAAGGGGTCTGGACATTGATCCTGGGGTGCTGTAGAGCCTCTGTGAGAAACAGGCTGAGCACTGGCTCCCTGTAACCAAAAGTGGTGTTTTGACAAGATTTGGTTCTCTTCATAAATGCTGCATTACCAAAAATGAACATTGTTGTTCCTCACCGGTGAAATTCCTCTCTTGTGTTTCCTGGAAAGCTGGAACAGCTCCTTACTGTTGGCAAGGGGGAGAAAAGAAACACCTGAGACTTGAAGCATGTGGGTCCGTAGAAAAACAAGGAGCATTAGAAAGGGAATTGGTCCAAGTGCAGGAACCAAGTTGGTTACCTACCTACCCTTTTTGTACACTGCCCAGAGCTGGTGTATCCGTGGCAAACTGTCCCTGGAGCATCTCATCCCCGGCTGCACAGGACGGATCCTTAAGAATGCAGGAGTTGCAGTTGTTTTGACAACTGTATACTAAATTTATCTGGAAATAAAGGGGGAAAATTTAATCTTGCGTTGCTATGTGTGCCTCGTGTTTTATTTATAGTTTGTTAGCCAAACCTGCTGACAGGATGTATCTTAACTCCCTGCCTGGGGAGGGAAGGGAGGTAGGATCGTACCAGCCGCTGCCTGGAGAAGGCATTCCAGAGGCTCTGCGAAACTTTACGTGAGGCAGAAAGTGTGCAGGCAGATGGCAGCTGCTCTAATTAAGACTTACTGTCTCTGTCTGTTTTCCTGCTGCTGTGGTTTTTAAGGTGTCTCTCTTCTTTTTAACACCGGAGGAATTTTAGTAATTTATTATCTGTACAGCACTGACGTGGATTATATTACAATGATAAACAAACTCAGGCCCACTGAAGTAAATGACTTGAATCCTCAGTAAATTGGGCAATGGGTTGACAAGTCTCCCAAGACACTGGCAGCTGAAGATGTGTAAATGAAGTTGCCATTTAGTTTTTTTTCCCCATCACCAAGATCTGTGAAACTCATTCGCAGCCTACACAGCTCTAGAGATGCCAGGCTAAAAGAAACTCCGTAGCAAATAAACATGAAAAGCACAGGTTGCCTGCGGGTGCTCCTGATGCTGGAGTGCAGTTTAGCTTGAGGGTGTTCTGTTGTTTGTTGGTTTGTTGGTTAGGGCTTGATCTCTTTTGGGTTTTGGGTGTTCTTTGGAAGTGCTTTCAGCTTTTGGAGTGGGTAAAGGCTGTGCTAAGTGGGTGCCTGCTGGCAGTGACAGACTGACAGTGTTTCAGTGTTTGAAATCAAGGGCTTGATCACTGCCATATAAAACCAGGGTTTGTTTGGTCTTTCAGAATTTCAGAAGCTGTGGAGGAGCATTCCCGTGGATTCTATGGATGAGGAGAAGATAGAAGAGTATCTGAAACGACAGGGTATTTCTTCCATGCAAGAAACCGGACCAAAGAAAATAGTAAGAGATACAAATTGCACATCTCCCTGGGAGATTCCCCTTCCTCATCCCGCACTGTTAGTTCCAGAATGTGTTGGTGAGCCTGTGCACAGCTTTGTGTAGCTCTGGAAGGTGTGTCCAGTTTTAAAAAGTTGCAAAAACCAGTGCTGCAGCCACCAGTCAGTGATTTCTATATAACTTGTTTGAGACAGTGTAATTAATCCAGGCAGCATCAGAAAGAGGGCAGACGCCAGAAATCCCTGTCAGCTCCTAAGTGGAAGCTTCTGCTTGAAGCTGATACATTATGAGTAGAAGTATTTTGGGAGAAAGGTGGTTTGTTGTTTGTTTTTTTTCCACTTTTGTGCTAAATAGCTTTGAAACCCTGATGGGATTCTGGATAGAACTGTGGGACATGTACCTGCTTCTGTAGCTGTGTGGGAGTGTTTGGAAACTTCACTTAGGAACACTGGCTCTGCTACTGTGCTTGGGATACCAAGGCTCTGCTCTGTCCCCAGGGTCATCTCCCTGCCTGGATTGGAACTGGATGCTGTTGCTTCTTGCCAAAACAAGCCAGCACCTCCCTTCCCTGCCCACCCCTGGTTCAGGCAGGGCTCATCTTTCACAGCACCGATGACCAGCACAGCATCACGCACCAGGTCAGATGTCGCATATTTCCTGACTCCTGTTTGTTTCTTCTTGCAGGCTCCCATTCAGAGGAGGAAGAAACCTGCCTCTCAGAAGAAACGTCGGTTTAAGACTCACAATGACCACTTGGTTGGAGTATTAAAAGATTACTCTGATGTGGTTCCTGGCAAGCAGTGAGCGGTTGAATTCTGGAGCAAACGCGCGTTTTCAGACAGGGCTTTTTGCCGCTGGGGCTCGGTGTCTGCTCACAGAAGGACTGACTGTATATAATAATGTGATGTGTTTCCCCCACCCCAGCAACTGCCGAGGTCAGTTTGAGAGCAAGTATGAGCTATTAAATGTAGAGGTTAATTTAATTAGCTGTCGGGAAACGTTTCTTTACAGTAAGAGGTTCTCACTAGTTGCCTCTTGGCATAGGGTGGTAAATGGTGCTCAGCATGTAATGCAGGAATTCCTGCTCAGTGCTTAACTCTGCTTTTACATTGCTTAATGGGTATTTACCTGGAATTACTTACGAGGGGCTTTCTAGTGGGATTGAATACAGCATTTGTTTTACCTGTTTTGGGAAAACCTTTTCTTCGGTGAAATCACTGTAGGCAAAGTTTCTTTCACAGTCAAATACACCCACGGTTTGTATGCTTCTTCCTCGCCACGGGACTGAGCTTTTCTGAAAGGCACTGAGCTTTTCTGAGCTTTTCTGAAAGTCGGTGATGTCTGAGACTCAAACTCAGAAAACTCCCTCTCCCAAAATCCCAGCAGGCTGCAGGATGGGATGCAGCCACAGTTTCCTAATGCTAATCAGGAATTGCATCACACTGTCCTGGGTGCAAGTGTGTTACACGTTCTGCTCTATGGACAAGAGGGAAATAAAACAACGGTGTAATACTGAAGCTTTTTTTTTTTTTTTTAAGTAATAAACTTACAATGCTGGTTTCCAGTGTTGCTTCCTAAAAGAATGAGAGAATCAGCATCTTTTGTGCCTGTTTTCCTTTTCAAGGAGGTAAAGGAATCTTTGCTGTGTGTTTTTATCTTCTCAGTGGCTTATTGTTCTGGGCTAATGGTGTCATCTTTTTATCGGTCTTGGTTGGGGAGAGGGGAGGAACCACCTTAAATGAAAGCTCCCTGTAGCTGCCTGATGTTCTGTGCAGCACAGCCGAACGTGGATCGTGGCCAAATTATGTCCTTTTGATAACTTATTTTTATGTTCCGAACCAGAGTCGGTCAATGCTGATATTGTTTTCGTGGCGCTGCGGGAGAGGAGCAGTTTCCCTGCGCTTCCAGGGTTAGGATCAGAGATAAGAGAGGTGACTGCAGCCCCCCACGGACGGCAGATCCCGTCCCTGCTGCCCGTGCACGAGCTCCTGGCTTGCTTGATGCACCCGGGGTTGAAGCAGAGGCCGCCGGGCCTGGGCACGTGAGCAGATGAAGAATGAGGCTTTGTTGCTGTTTGCACTGAACGAGTTCTGTCAGCTTGGGGGAAATGTGCTGCTGGAAGTGCAGCATTTATCCTCCTGATTTTCAAGGCTGCTCTTTTGAGAGACAGACAGTGCTCCCAGCGTTGCACATGTCAGCCTTGTTTAAAAGAGTTGCTAAATGCCATTAGGAGGTTTCTTCTATTATTTTTTTTTACCGATATATATTTCATACCCTTTTAAATATATATATTTATAAAAGCATGCTGCTCCAACCGGTTTTGAAACTGTTTTTCTTTCCTGTATCTTCCAGGTCAGCACAAATAATTCCTCTTGGAGCTTTTTAGTTTTCCGTTACAGCTCTCCTTTAAATACCACACTTGAAAAACTGTTCACCCCTCTTCTGTCATCTTCACTCAAGAAAAAAAGAGTTCTCTTCAAATCTGCTGCGATTTTTGAGCAGTGATTTTTTTGATGGTGGTGCCTGGACAACAGCAGAGCTCTGAGTTACCTTTCCTACCTTTGGGGGGGTTTATGGAGTAAATTCCCAGTCATCTGGTGTAGCATTGCCCTTTCTCTCTAAACCAAAGCAGGTTTAGAGAGTAAGGTAGGCTGCCTGCTTTGTTTCTCTGCTCAAGTGATTAAGATAATAGAGGAGTCTAAAGAAAATGCCTCCAGCTACTTTAAAAGATTAAAAATATGTTAGGTCCAAAAAGGGAGAGCAGGAAAGCAAGGTTGACTGTGAGCTCTGTGCTGGCACTGTCAGGCTCCAGTGTTCAAAGGAACAAAACAGTCCAGGTGGTGTCCAGTTGGAAAGTCTGGATGAGAGGCTTTGTCTCACTGGAGGATGTCTTCCCCTCTGCCATAGTAGCAGAGAGGGCATAAATAAGTTTTGCAACTTGTTAGGGTAAATAAGGGAAGCTCACATTGTCTTCTTAGAGGTGGCATGGACTATAGACAAGCAGCAGTGAAGGAAACATGTTCAGACAATAAGCTTAGATACTCCTTGTCCTATCACTGCAGTTCCTGATTAAGAGTCCCTCTCCAGCTTCCTTGTAGGCCCCTCCAGATACTGGAAGGAGCTATGAGGTCTTCACTCAACCTTCTCTTCTCCAGGCTGAGCAGCCCCAATTTTCTCAGCCTGTCAGAAAAAAAAAAAAAAAAGAAGAAGAGCCTGAGCTCCTCTCTTTTATGTGGTTTTCAGGAGTTGGGTTTTGTCAAAGATGCTCCCAGTGGTCCTTACCTTTTTTTTCCAAGTCCTCTTACAAATCAAATTATGCAACTTGAAAACATCTCAGACTACATCAACGTGAGTCTGTTTGCTAAAAGCTTTTTAGTACCACTCCAGTCCACTTCAGTCTCTTCGCATTGTTCATGTCCAGATCAGGCTTTTCACTGAAGTTCAGCTGTTAAAAACTTAAACCTGTTTCATCTTTCTCCAGGGTGTTTTCTTGTATTCTCTGTCTGGCAGGATGGTTCTCCCCGTGGCCAAAACCATCATACCCTCAGCTCGCTCTCTTTGGCAAAACCCTTCTTCCCTCAGTCTGGCATTGCAAAGGGCTGCTGAGAGGCATCATGTTCTCTCCTGGGAGCCCCCGTTTTTCCCCTCCTTCCCTGGAAGCATCTGCTGCTATCCAGGAAGATGAAGGGACTTGGGCAGAGAACACAGAGTAGAATATTTCAGATGGAAGTGACCTACAGTGACCATCTAGTCCACAGCAGGCACCTTGGTCTCCTGCACTTCAGAAAGGTCTTTTGGCAAACCCATCTCAGTTTTACCTGTCCCTGCCAGGTGAGGACTTGCCTCTTCCACTCTCCTGAGGCTCCTGTCCAGCAAGGACATTTCTCCCTCAGCTCTGGGATTCGGCGTGTTGATCCTGACAGAGCTCTCCTTGTTTAAGGGTCAAGTTGAGTAGCCCAGGTGTGTCACACCTCTAAACATGGAGCTCTGCTGGCTTCTCTCCTAAAAGTTGCTCTACCCAACAGAGTTATTCCACCTCCTCCTCCGTTATGATGATCGTTCTGGAAGGGGATGGAAAACAGCAGGATTCCGTACGGTTGAATGAGAAAACTGACATAAGGCGATGTGTACCAGCGCTAATCTATAATTCATCACGACCATTCAGGGCTTTTAGAAAGTGGAGGAGAGCGAGGCGAGGGAGCCCTGAGAAAGGGTACGAAGGCCCTGCACGTGGCTGCAGCCAGCGAGGGCTGTCACTTCCGATGAGCACGGGCGGGCGGTGCCAGGCCACCAGGGAGAGCCGGGCCCCCGGTACCTGCTGCTGAGGAGGGGCTGCCTTTGCAGATGACTAGAAGCAACTACGGTACTGACATCTCATTATTTCCAGCTTCGTTGCTCGCTTTTCCGGTCGCTGCTAATGTACCAGGCCCGAATTCCTTTGTGTGTTATCGCCTCGGGGGCCTCTGGCAGCTCCTGCTTCTGGGGGGAGCATGTCCAGTAGAGCCGAGTGCTGGTTTAGACTGGCAAGGCTAACGAGGAACAGCCATCTGGGAGAGGAGGGCTCGGATCCCAGTCTGCTGGTGCTGGCTTTCTACTGCTGGCAAAGTCAGGGATATGGCAAACCAGGTGGTTTGTGACTCGATCTCCTCTGGAGGGGAGAGAGGGCCTGCTTTGGCACTGCTGCTCAGGTCTTTCCAGCTCGTGGATGTGCTCCTGACTGTGTCGGTGTTGTCCCTGCTTTGGCACTGCTGCTCAGGTCTTTCCAGCTCATGGATGCACTCCTGACTGTGTCGGTGTTGTCAGCCCTGCGCAGGCTCTCTGGACACATCTCCAAGGAAGATTGGCAGCTCCCCAGAAGAGAGGGCTTGCCTGGACACAGCAGGGCTCCCGACGGGAAGGCGGCCTCTCTGTCATGCTGGTGTTGCATAGCTGTAGCTGTTCTCTTCCCAAATGAGTTCTCTTCCCCTCCCCCAGCAAGGGAAGCTGTTGGCTCTCTGCTCAGCACCAGGAAGGTCACACCTGGACGTTGTGTCCAGTTTAGGCCTTTCCCTCTATTCAATCCCTACTCCATCCCCAGGGATGCTGGGGAGGGTCTGTTTGGAGCTCTCAGGCTGGCCAGGGCTGGGGGCAGAGAGCCTGGGAGGAGGAGTGGGGAGCTGGGACAGCCTGATGTGGTGAGGAGATGGCTGGGGGTGTATCCAATCACAGATAAAATGATGTGTGAAGGGCAGTGAGGAGGATGCTGTGGTCAGACTCTTTTGGCAGCCATGGCAGGTGACATAATAGGGAAATGTGGGAAGTTTGGCTGGGGTATTAGGAAAAAACCAGCTGGTGGGGAGATGTCTCCTGCCACGGAGGGAGGCTTCAAGCATCACTGAGACGAGACCAGGCTGCCCAGGTCTCTTACTGGCAGCAGTCGTGTAGCGAGAGGGAAGTTGAATCAGAGACCACCTGCAGCTCCTTTTACCCACATGCTCCTGTGGGTCTGAGCCCTGGTTCCTTTGGTACTTCCCACTGTCCTGTAAGAGCAGTTCTTCTTGTGTCTCTCTGGCTTGCTTTCTGCTGCTTTGGCTTGCGGGGTTACTCAACAGCTCAGGAAAAACAGCCATGACTCTGAAAACCCGTCAGTGCTTCTGTGGCTGGGAACCACGTGTCAGGCTGCACTGGCCTCATGGGTTGGACCTTGTGCAGAGAGCAAGCACAGCAGGGGGAAAGGATGGTTAAGGCAGGAGGTTGTCCTGCCATTAAGTTAATTTTTTGACTATACCTGCACTTCTGGGCTTGCATCCAAGGCCCGAAGTACTTGTGTGGTTTCTTCCTGCCTCCATCACTTTGGATGTGTTCTTTATTCCCTCCTGAGCTGGTTATTAATTATGGAGACTGCAGAGATGAAGTCCAGACTCTGCTAATGGTTGACTTCCCCGTGTTTTAGAAGCAGCATTTCAGTGACCTGCTAATGGTATTTTTTAGCTTTTCTTT